GGGGTAGCCGGTTCCCAGTGCTTTTTTTGTGCGCGTGCTGCCTGTTTCAATGGTGTTGGCGCCTGTTTGAATTCCATTTTTTTGCCACCCCGCCTTTGTTCCAGGGTGTCACGTGTCGAGTGAAGCAAAGCCAAGTTTGATAAGACCCACCCGTCAACGACAGTCGTTTACCATGTTCCTCTCAAGTACTTTCAAGCATCGGTTCCTGCAGGGATGGATATAGAAAGCGGTTCGTAGGGCGCTGATGACAGGTGTGTGCAAAGTGCAGCATTGCGGACGTGCTGGAATCAGATTTGTGACCTATCCACCCCACAGGTGATGTTGCCGCTGAGTTTTGATCGGGAACCCACTCCAAAATGGTTGGTGGACATCAATCCCCGCCCAAACGCTGTCCACTCAAGGGTCTCTGACTAGAATTCAATCCCGCGAATGTAAGGGCCGCTCAAAGGGGGCGTATTTTGTTCAAGAGATGTGGATTCGCAGAAAGCACCCGTATATTCTGCCAGAAACGGTTCGGACTTTAGCAGTTATCAAGAGATCTCCTGTCCCATGCGGGGTGGACATATTTTTGGTGCCTCCACCTTGTGTTTGGGGACAGGTCACACGCCTTCTCCAAGGGTCAAGGTACGTGAGGATGTTCCAAACACTTTGCAAAGTATTTTGACTCCAAGGGTGACCGGGCAGGAAGTCTAAGCTCGGCTAAATAGAAGGCCAGGGAAAGTATTGTTTCGGTTTAGGCAGAGAGTAGCCCCATCCCCTAAATCCCCTTAATAAGCCATGCCCGAGCGGCATCATAAGACGTGCATGCCATTGTTCCTATCCGGGTTTATTTGACAGTGGCTCATGCAGCCAAGATACATACTCTGGTTTTTCCAGAGTGTTTCTTTTTTTCCAGAGAATTCAGCACGATTGTCATTGAGCATTTATCGCCAACAACTTGTTTGCTTCTTATAAGTTCGATGTCCCAGTGTACAAACAGCATCGGTCTGTTAAGGGGTGGAATAGTGCTTGCAGGCTTGCTGGAGGAAATGTTGGATCCCTCTCTCGACTCGTTGCTCACCAGGATACGCAGGAGAACACCAATCAGGCCAGTGCTTGCTTGTGACGAAGGTTCCTTAGGGATTCCTTAAAGCTCAGGTTGGATGCATGGAAGCGGTGAATAAGTAGAATGGGGGTGCCAAGCAATGTTGACCCCGGATTGACAAACCCCATTTTATGCAGAAGGGTTGTTGCCCTCCAAAAGTGATACATCTCCACTAAAACAAGGGACACCCCCATATTAATAAGCAGAGTAACATTGCAATGAAGCCACATTGTCTCAGGACAAACATGTACCCGGTATGGGATACACATTTTCACGCGTATGAAGGCTGCAGGGATTCCTGGTAGAATTCCGCAGCTCATACCCGCAGAATATCCCCAGAAATGCTTTGCGTTTGGCATACTGTGGGTTTGTGCAGAAGAAAAAGCAGTCGTGTCGCTCTTTTGATGCTTCAGGTTCTTCTGACTTGACCATTGAGCCGACAAACAAAGCAGAGTATCGGGTTTGGGCTGTCCATTTCGGTTTTGCGGATGGGCATCCAGGGTGCCTTTCACTGTGATCCCCTGTCGGCTCGTACCATGTGCCCGTCAAGGAAGTCTTTTCTTTCAACCCGGACCTCCAGTGCTTGTTTGTCTTCGTTTCTTTTTTTGTTTAAGCGGACTAAACCCAATTCGACATGTGTGTTTGCTTTTGCAATGGCACACGGAGCTCTTGGTCAATATTCATCCTGGTCCGCAGGGCCTAAAGATCCTAAGAGAAATCAACATGGGCAGTTGGTACTTACGCATCCTTATAAGGCGCCAAGGGCCTTAGGACTTTAGGCAAGGCCCCAATGATTTCCGCGCCCCACACCTATACATCCTATACTTTGTTGCATTTTGCTTGGATGTTAGGACTTTGCCGTTTTGCCAACAAATGGGCTTTCCCTTAAACGAGTATAGTGGGTCGCCTCACATCCTTTTCTGTGACTGACTTTGCGACACGGCGCAGGAGTGCAGTAGCCGACCTGGTCTCAGGGTCGGGGCGGAGGTGTGCCAGATCGGGCCCCCAAGAGCTGGGTTTTCCCTTCAAGCATCATGCATGAAGGCCATGCCGTTTGGGCAATTTCGCATGGGGCGTCAATCGCAGGGCTCGTTTGCGGTTTGGCCTCGTCCCATCCATCCAAGGGAATCCTGGTTGTGACTCAACGCGAAGCTGGTGGCCACTCGATTGGCTCCTATCCCGTGCCTTTTTTCGTTTAAGCAGTGTCATTTCGTCTTACCCGAGCAGCTCGCGTTTAGGCCCAGTTGGGGCCAAGTTTGCAAGGGGATAGTTTCCTGCTTGGGGTTTGATTGCCCTTCTCTATTAGGGATGGTTGCGAAGCTGAGAGTGGCGAAGCTGAGAGCCATTTCCGCGGTGTAAAGCAACCAAGCTGAAACTAACCAAGTACAAGCGAATGGTCCAGCCGGCTTTCGACACGTACACAGCTCTATATCCCCAGCTTCACAAATAAGGGAAGGGGGCCCAAGTGTCTGTGAAATGTATTTCGAGCAGGAACTCACTCGCCATCATGCGCCGTAGTCGGCATTACTTTGCGCGGGCCTTCTTTTGCAGTAAGGGACACCAAAGAGAGACCGCCCAGGTGGGGCTACGCATCCCATAATTTGAGCCACCCGATCCTGTCCAGTCGCTTATTTTCGGCCTGATGCTGCCTTTGGTACTACAGTGCCGCGTGCCGAGGGAGCCAGACTTTCGGGCGTGGTCGGTCTGTCCGACAGAGACACTTAGCCCACCAGCAAACGAAGAAGTTGGAAGCTTGCAAAAAGCACGTGCTGGGGCTCTAGTTTTTGTTGAAAGCTGTGCATAGTTTTCAACTCCCCAAGGCTGAAGGGTACAGAAAGGGGGTGTGCAGACTTCAGCACAAGCGAGAGCTTTTGCATGTTTCACCCAGATGCTTGCGTAGCCATGGCTCATGTTATTGCGAGGCTCCAAACACCTCTTTGATAGCTCGAAGCCGAGGCGACCTCTTCTCAACCTTCCTGGGCCAGGCGGGGCGAGTCTTGCTCCGGTAGATGCAACCTGTGAACTGCGCCATCCCAAGAGTCTCTTGAATTTCATTGATCGGTTCATGCCCATCCCCCGTTGATGTTATTTGCTGAGAAAGTGTGTCTTTGGTCTAACACGGCTTTTGTCACCGTATTCTTCCCTTGCTCCATTTGGGCTGGCTGGGCTCGGTTTTGTGTATCAAACACAGGACTTCCACTCCTTCCAAGTTGGTTGAATCTTATTGATCAGGGGAGTGGTCAAAATGGTGGGCAGGGGCGTGCACATGGAAATTAGGAGGGCTTTGTCAAGCCAAGCTCACAAGTGAGGACCTGAAAGTCTTTGGTTTTGTGCTTGTTTTATTTGGTTTGGACGTCAGAAGCCTGAAGCAAGCAGCTTCACGTTTGATGCACACAGTTTGCACAACTCGGTCCGCGTTTGTGCCCACTCTCGTGGAATGCCCGAACTGCAAGTTGATGCTCACAGCTGCAGCTTACACGGCCTTGCCAGGTGAACAACAACGAGGCTGGGCGCAGCTCCTCGCTGCAGCATGCCTTTGGCTGGATGAATGTATGTTTATGTGTTTCTTTTTGGGGTTGGTTTAAAGGAAAACCCAATGGGAATCGATCAGTGTGTGGGGCCGGTTCATCAGTGCGTGCACCAGCTCTTTTTTGGGGGGGGCACTCAACTCTTTGCGCAGGCTCAGCACCGTTTGTTCGCTTTCGTCAATAGAGGGGTCATGTGCGTCTTAGCGGCAAGGTCGTCTCTGCCTTGTCGTTTATGCTGTTCTCCGATTCCTTCCATGGATCGTTCTCTTCAACAAATGCCCAAACACCAACACACTTTGGCAGCTGCCCGATAGAAACTGATGGGTGACAAGAATGGCGGGATCAGCCTGTTCATTGTTTCATCGGGTAAAGGGACCCTCCTGCAACAGGTTTCTCACGTAAATCCTGTTAGGAGAGCCTGCTTACAACCCTCCCGCATTGGGTTAATCCCTTTGTGTCGACCTGCAGGATGTCTTCTGTGGCACGCTGGGTCCCCTCACGTCCGTTCTGTCGAACCTGTCTTTTGTGTCCGTTCTGTAATCTCAACGGCTCCCTATGGTCACTCTTGAGGACTTGGTACGGCAGCTGGAGGATCTCATTCAACGTGTATTCTAGAGCCTAGATTGGGTGGCTGGCACATAAAGGGACCTTGGAAAGCGTTTGTTTAAGGAGATTGTCAGAACTTCCTTTGTGGGGGTAAAGACGGATGTCTAAACAAAACTGAAGGACTTGTGCCATCTCCTTATGTCCAACTGCCACTTTGCAAGGCCTGTCGACATGACGGCAGCGTTTGTCCATGCCCCGGGTGCCACTTTGAGTTCCGAAACGGCGGCCTGTTCAAGATCCTAGGCCCCCAGTGCCCTTTTACCGATTCTTTTTTGGGGGAGAGTTCCCCTACTAAGATCGACCGCAGAAAAAAGGGTATCTAACCTCTCTACTGGAGGACCTAGGACCACTCAAGAATGTGTCGTGCAGTCCATCAGCATGACTTGCTACGTTTGCATGTAGCCGCACAAGTCCCAAGGGCCGACTCTTTTCAGACGCTCTGAAGAAAACTTCTTCGCCGCCAAATGTATTCTCACAAGTCGGGTTGAGTCAGAATCGAGACTTGGCAACCGATACGCCAGGAGATCCTTCCGGTCTCCTGGGAGGCGCGGAAAAGATGGAGTTGGAGCCATCCAATCGAAGGTGTTAAGGGCCTTGGTTTCAGAGTATTCCCTACATGGCCATAGGGAACCACCTCAAAAGCGAGTGAACAAATGATGTCCTCCATTTTCGGAACCGCAACCCATTGAAATTTAGCCCCACGTTCCTTTTTTGTGATTGCAAGCATGACTTTTTGGGCCACATTTAGTGGCATGATGCTTCAGGGGAAACAATGGGGAGCCATGTGTGTGTGTGTGTATGTGTGTTTGCTCTGTGTTGCCATCTCACAACGGCCCTAGACAAGGCTACCCTTCACCCACACCAACACAAATATGTTGTGTTGCCTCCACCCTTGCCGGCACACTGCGTCAATTTGGAGTACAGCCCCTGAGCAAGGCGTTGGAGCGGTGGCAACAAAAAAGGACAGCTTTTTGGGAAGGGTTTTCATTCAACCAACAAAGAAAGAAAAGCGAGATCTGCTTTTTGCATAGATGGGCTAGGTTGCGGTATCCATCAAGCGAGCCTTAAGTGAGGTCGAAGGATCAGCTGGACGCGGTGGATGCATGGCCTCACCAGCTGATTGGGATCCCTTTTTCGAAGCTGATTTCGGGATGTATTGTCTCTTTCTCCATGTTCAGTCCAGGACGCCAAAAACTTGAAGCTTTTCTATTTTCAGGTCCCTCCGGCAAAATCAACATCTGGGAGATCTTGAAAGCACTATAAACACCAGAAGGGTAAGCCCCCCACAACACTTGCTTCAGGCCACATCCAATTTCTATTACTTCTCAAGCTGGGTTACTCCAGGTGGGTTTCCTTTACCTGGTGGCAAGCCCCGCCATCCGGTTCTTTACGCTCTTTTTTTAGTTGTTTTGTTCTGCTTTTTAGTTGGGGTAGTGGTAGTGTTCGAATTTCACCCGCGAAAAGTTTTCCACTTTTAGCAGGGGGTCTGAAACCGGAGAGCCCATCCAAGGGTTCCCTTCTTTGGAGGTAGATGGCCAATGGCCAAAGGCAAGCGTGAGTTTAAAGGTGCACATGCTGATCTACGAAAATTGGGTAGTCCACGCCATCGCCACAAAATCGAGACAGAACCCCTCAGTTTGGTTCTGTCTTAGTGGACAGGAGGGTAGTTCTATTCCAAACCAAAACAACCACGTTTTATCTGGAAATAGAGTAAAATAGTAATTCCCCAGAGGGCGCAATCCCAGCGTGTAATAGGAAAACAATTTGGTCTACCTGGACCCTCAAACAGCAAGACATTTCTTGGCGATTTTTTGTTTAGGTGTTTTCCCGATTTCTTGGGCGAATTAGGCGTTTCCGATGGAAATGCGTCGCTTTTGGTGGAAACCCTGTGTTTGCGTCGCGGAGCTTTCGCCAAACATATACACGCAGTTAACGAAGCTTTGCTTTGGTGTGATTGTGACAAACGGGTCCCTGTGGTCCCACCTCGAGGTCGCAAGCTCGCGCACACACACACAAGCACCACAGAGAAACAGTGCCAGCACTCACTGGGTCTTTGTCCCAGTCGCGTTGCGCACGCTCTTGCAAGCGTGCGTAGGCTCGAAGTGGCTGCCCCGGGCCCCCCTCCCCTCCCGCGGCCAAGATTTTTCCCCCAACTCCCTTTATCTCCGTGTTTCCAAAACAGCAGAAACTGCAAGTTTTGGGGATTTGCGGGCGTTTGCGAGTTTTGCTGGCGTTGTGGGGTATTTTTTGGCGAGCAAAATTTGGAGAATCACGGGGGACACCCCCAAAAGCTTCCAAACTTGCACTACTTGAGCCCCAACTGGGCAATCAGGATTGAAGGTGTCAGCTGAAGCAGGTTAACTAAGCTAGAACGACAACACCAAATCGGAGCCATTGCGCTTCAATTTGCTGGTACAAGGATGTGAAAGGCTTCGTGAGCTCGGGCGGTATCACTTGGCATCACAGTGAATGATGACATGTTCTTCAAGCTGCCTTGCAATCCCAACGGAGGCTGCATCAGTGCTACATGTGTCTCAAAGTTGTATTGCCCACTTTTTCGGCCCGATCCCGCTGCTTTCTGTGATATCTTATCGTTTGAGTCGCTTTAAGCGTTTT